AATTATTGACTTTTAACCAGTCTCCAACTTGATCTACTGTCCAAATAGCCATTGATGTTTCTAAATATTTTATGATTGAAGATTAAATAATCAAAAAACAAGAGAAGTACTTATATAACAATAGTATTCACACGCGATTTAGTCGTAATACTGAACAGATACTACTCTTCGGCATGAATCAATTATTGATACGACTGTCATGGTTCCCAAGTGTGATGCGCCGTTTTGAATCAGATCTATACCAGTTAGTAGAGCTAGATGAGACTAGACGAAACCTAAAAGAGTTCGTCCTCATACGCTGTCCTTCTCGAGTTATCACCGTTTTATTGAGTTTTCGAGTACTAGCAAGGTACATATGGGAAAATCGAATTACGGGATTTTGACCTGAAATTTTGCCCATAGATAGATCTCATGGTCCTTAGAGTGTCCTAAAAATTTCAGCCCAAAAAAAGGCTTTTCTCTTGAGATGTCGAATGTTGAAGACATCCGTTTTTCTGACCTTTCCTCGCGACATATGATTGTTTTTTGGATACTCAATATCTGCAAAATAAAACATTCTTTTGGCCTGAAGCTTTTAGAACATTCTAAGGACTACGAGATTTATCGATGAGCACAATTTCAAGTCTCGAAATCCCGTGCTTCGATTTTTCCATAAATACCTTACTAGAAGTCGAAAATTCAGTAAAACGGTCATACTTCGAGAATGACAGTGTATGGAGACGAACTCTTATATGCTTCGTCTAGTCCCATGGAGCCCTACTAAGTAATATAGATCCGATTCAAAACGACGCGTTACACTTGGGGATCTTTCCTCATGAGTGACTACGTAGTTCGACACATATTCGCAGGGTACTGTATTCAAACCTTAGTGCCATCAGTTATGAAGCGGATCTGAGCAAGTCACCAACGACTGTTTGTCTCGCATCACCCATTTGATAGCATGCTGATTACACTATGACATGCATCTGTTTTTGTACCTAGTATGTGATTAGTTAGTGTACATGAGGAGTTCAAGCAATTGAGAACTCTACGTTAGGCCAGTCTTCTGTTCTGAGCTACAACTAATATGAGGTGTAGAAAACATATCGAGCGATTGGAATCTGTCGTTAGATAGTACCCTATACCGCAAGGTAGCTGAAATTAGGAGTATTCTTCTTCTTCTCATATAATAGATCCAATCTGTTCCAGTTATCATATTTAGATAGTATCATACTTTGCTGTATGTTTCAACGCTATCTGATTCTGAACAAGTTATTTGTGTCGAATATTTCAGACTATATCCATCCGCCAGTATACTTTCTACATCGAAACATATATCTAACGATCGAATTAGTAGTGTCCTGTGGGAACGATTTTTTGCCGTTCCGATTCCTGGAAAGTCTTCGGGGAACGGGAATAATATTAAAAATAAACGTTTCAGAAAATCGTTTTGTTTTGTTTTTATGTGCATTAAGATATTTTAATGTAACACCTTTTTACTATTAATCACTATTTTTATATATAATAAGTTATGCAAAAGTCTTCGGAGAAATGTTAAGACTCATTTCACAATCGCTGAATATTGGATAGGTCTGAACTTAAACAGTAAAGTCTGAAGAATGAAATAGGTCAAGATAGTTAATATTTTTACTTTGCTTTAGTATGATGAGAGTTAAATACGAAGCAGCGCTCAAAAAGCTTTTGCAGCCTTGTTTTTATATATTTTCAGCCGTTGACTTCATGATTTTGTTTGTCTCAAACTTTGAGTTAAACTTATCTATAAATAGAGGTTTTCAATTCTTACCATTTCATCCATTTGGCAATGTTTTTTCGGTTACATTACTGATAAGAAAATTCTCTTCTATAATGTTTCCTCTATTGAAACATCAGTGGGATAAAATTTTTGAAATGTATGCCTTAGATACAGTATTTTTAGCTCTACTTAATAGTATATTCTAGTCGTGTCACGAAGGCATTGAAGTAATGCCAGTTGCCAAATAAATTTTTTCGGGTGTTGTAGTGGCTTTTTAAGATCAGTAGGAAGGATGCTCTAGTATAGCATAAATCAATCAGATAAGCAATTTTTTGTTTTATGTATATATATATATATGCTTCAAGCTTTGCTCTTTCAAACAAAGAAAAGGCCGAAATCAATTCAATATTATATTGTTGATAAATTATTCACTTATTACAACTATTATTTTCTTTGTCATTATCATCTTCGAAAGGATTATTATTATTCAGATTATCTTGCAATATAACATTATTATTATCTTCTTCTTTTGAATGTTTTCGTTTTTTCATTGCTATTGTTGATGTAATAGTATTTTTTTTCTCCTTGCAATTGATAAAAGAAATGATCCTGTTCATTTAAAGTTGATAAATTTCAATGCATAAATAATAATTGATTTATTTTACTAAAGTGTACCTCGAATCATAACTCTATTTTTAATTTAAGGTCATCTCACATTGCGCAAAATGCGATCTTGACAGAATTTAACATCTGAAAATGATACTTTTCCTCAAACGTGAAGAATGAAATCGTAATAGAAAGTCTGAAAGCCTCACGAGTACACAAGAGCGTGAACGGGAAGTCGGAATTGAGAAAAGTTGTGCCCACAGGATACTACCAATTCATCATTTTGAGACGTAATACCTTTGATAGCATTCCATCTACTAATAAGACCTGAAAGACGGAGCGTTCTTCATTTAATTTAAAAGCTTTCAGCTCTGTATTGAAGGTTAGATTGTAATGAATATGTTTATGAGTAAGACCAAAAGCGGCAAAACTTTCTTTCCCAAACATTTCCTGTCTTTAGTTTGGTGTATTTCAACCGAGCAAGAGAAAATAGAAAAAAAATCCTTCAGCAAATATGAAAAAAAAAACAATTATTACTGATATATCGTGACTTCGTCATCGAAATTATCTTTTATACGTCCATATCTTTTAAATTTTTTCCTTTTTTTTGCATTTGATTTTCATAATCATAGAGAAATACATTAAAACTATTCTCAATCAATGAAAAAATGCTATTTCCTTTTTATAGCAACGAAATGAAAGATAAAATAAAATTTATTAGCATTGAATGTATTCGTTATTCGAAGTTTTTTATTTGCAAAAGATATACATTGTCATATATACAGCTTCTATCTGAAGAATTATTAATAAAAAATTGAAAACTTACCAACTCTATATGATAGTTATTATTCGCTCTATTTTTTGACAAATAAAATGAAAAAAAAAAGAATAATGTCGTAAAAACTTCTTCTGTTTTTTTCTATCAACTTGAATTTTTTTCTTTTTTTTTTGTAGAGAAAATGGTATTAGTCGACAGTTGGTAAATATAAGAAAAAAAAGAACGAAAATTGAATGTTACTTCAAAAATTCATTCCATATCTCAAATCATTGAAGAAAAGTGACAACCGACATAGACTGATTAAGTAAGTTGAACATTTCTGAGACATAAAACAACCTAAATATAGTATGACACAGTATATAAATTTTTAGAAATTCATAAAATGACTATAAGTATAGAAAAAACAAAGCTTTTTATATCAGAGGATATTAACAATTGAATACAGTTTCGAAATTTATCTAAATAAAAAGTTTTTACATCATATCCGAAAGGTAAGTAAAAACAAAATATTACAAAAAGAATCATTATAAGAACTTCTATGAATCATAGAGAAAAAAAAAGAATGGTAATGTAATGCATATTTTGAAATACCTAATGAAATCTTACAAGATCAATGAAACAATACTATATACAGAAAAAAATTTCACTCATACTCTCGAGACTTCATTGATGATTTTTTTTGAAAAAATTTACAAAAAAAGGAAGTGAACAATATAAAATAAAAAAATCATATCGATGAGTGATAATAAATTAGATGGAAAAAGAAATGGAACTCGAAAGCAAAACGAACCAATCTTTTCAAGTTTGGATTTGGTTCGCTTTGGATAGGAAGATTTTATTTTCAAATTTCTAATTGATTTTTATCAAAAGATAAATTATTATTTCTTTTATATTAATCTTTTATTTGGTTATATCTGCAATCTGTGTGTGTGTGTGTGTGTTTTTTATTGTTGCAAACATTCATTCGATATTCTATAGTATTTCTACTTTTACAGATTTTATTAATTAGTCAGACAAAAAAATTTCAATAGTGTACAGAAATATAAAGAAATTCTACACAAAATGTGGATGATCAAACTGATTTAGTGCAGAATGTTTATTCAACTGTTATAATTCAAAAGGTTTCATACGTCTAAAACATATCAAGTTTCTTAGACTGATCGAATAGAATAGAATTTTCTTCATCGAAAATCTAAGTTCTCATTTCGCCTTACAACGATGTGTAGGTCAGACCAGCAAAAAATCTACAAGAGTTCATTCCCTTGAACATTTGAAATCAAGTTAGAATTATTTTATTGAATTTTTGACCCAGTTTTAGGTATACACTGAAAAAAAGTATAGAATTTCGACGTGAAATTTCGTCCATAGATAGATCTTATGATCTATAGAGTATTCTGAAAGTTTCCAGTCGACAAAAGTATTCCTTTATCGAAATATTGAATTTCCACAAAATGATCTTTGGACATCAGTATGTCACAAAAGTCGAGTTTACGTGAAAATTCAATATCTCAATAAAGGAACATTCTTTTCGGCCAAAACTTTTAGGATATTCTATATCTTATTAGATTTACCTATGGGCAAAATTTCACGACAAAATACTGGTTTCTAATTTTTTCGGTATATATCTAAATCTGAATCGAAAATTCATTTAAAAAACCATACCTTGCCTCCAAGACGGTGTGCATCGGTTTAAATAATTCCCTCGTTAACAAAAAAGAGAATTAGATATCAATATTTAGGCGTGATGTGTTAAGGCATGTATTGTAGACGCTATCAAGATCAACATTCTTGGATATCATGGTTTTCCTAGAGCTTTTAACCATCGAAAAGTTTCAATAAATTCTTTTAGATGACAGTTGTATTTTGTATTTAACTTTGTAGTTAATGGAGAATTGGACAGTAAAGAAAGTTGGTGATTGGTTGAAAGCAAATGGTTTTAAAAAGCAAGTTAAAATATTTAAGGGTAATTCTTTCTATAGAATCTAACGATTGTAAATCTCTTTATATTGATGTATTTAGATAGGAATATAGATGGAAATGCTCTAATGAAACTAACGGATGATGATATTGTACAACTACTTTTGGAAGTTAATAAAGATGGAACGATACAAGAACCAACAATTGGAATGAAAAGTAGATTTAGAACAATGTTAATAGAATGGAAAAGAGAGAATGAACAAAAAAAGCAGACTAATCAAGATGAGTAAGCAAAGTTCTATTTGAATCATTTCTATTATAAAAAATATTTTTATTTTATTGAGAACTGCTAATGTTTCATCTATCATCGTTCCATCTAATGCGACTGATTTAACTAATTTAAATGAGGTAAATATTGAGATTGCTTAATAAAGATAGAAGAATTAGATGTGCATTTCAGTTGGAAAATAAAATCAAGATGTATTCTCTATTTTTTTCCAATTTGACTTGCAGAATAAGCTATTTTTTAATCTGTTTTTTTTCTGAATATCTCTCTCAAACATCCTGATATAGAGCTGAGAAGTTTAGCATAGTCGCTCCATATAAAGTGTCAGTTTCTGGTTCTCTTCCCGGAAATCCGGAAGCCGATGCTGGTTCCATTCTTGGAAACCTATATCGACTTGATACAGATTGAAAGAATAAGCACGTCGATATTTATTAATATAATCAGAAATGCGCGGAAACGAAACCCTAGGAAACAAAGAACCCTAACACCCCTACTCTCCATTACAGCTCTAACATATCCTGAAAATGACATACGACTTGTTGAGAAGGGAAAGAGATTGAACGGTACTCCCTGCCACGTTTTCGGCGTTTCTGGAGAACGACTCATCAAAAAAAGTTGAAATTTTCAGAGCAAATAGATCTTGATGAGTAGAGCAAAACTTGTCATTTCCGGATGCTGTTTTCTATGAGATATTGGGATCATAATGGCGAAAAATTGATCCTTTTTTTGTTCCCGTTTCTTCGAGATGCTATGTTTGATCGAGCTGAAAGTATTTTCACAAGCACAAGACACTGTTTGAAGTGGATATCTTTTTCTTTTTTTGTTCTTCGAATAAAAAAAAAACAAATTATCGAAGCTACGTTAAAAAACGTATGTTTTTTTTTGTAAGAGCTATTAAAAATTAGCAGAATAATATTTTTCGAAACCACAGAAAAATACCCATCCGAAACAATCTATAGTATATGTGAAAAAAGTTTCAGCTAGATTAGACACACTAGGCCGAAGAAAGAAGGGTATTTTTGCACTTTTCTTTCATGAAAAAGTTGGTTTGAGAAAAGCACGAAACCATGTACAATTTTCGCTATTTCTCGTATGTAACTTTGATTGTTTAATGTTTCAAGACAATATTCGGATCCCAAACTGTATACAGTACACGAATACTACTTCAAACTATACATTGACTACAAAAAACAAAAAATTTTGAGTAATGAAAGTGAAGTGTGGGCGGTACCTTTGATTCGAAAATATGTAGAATTTCAAGCTTTATTCATTGGTATAAGTCTACAATCAAATATTCGTCAAAATATCTTTTTATGCCTATCATATACAAATTCTACTATATTATTCTGTTCATTTTTTTCAGGTTAAACACCAAGATGATGTCGTTTCTAAAAAACCTAAAAAGAAACACTCTGATAATGATATATGTGAAGTTAATTATTTAATTGAAGATGACATTCATATTCAATTCCTCAGAAATCCAAAATTTCTTCCCTATTTAATTAATTATATAAAACAAGAAATATTTTCAATTGAAATTGATATTAAACAAGTAAATTCAAAAGATGATGAATCATTACTTAATTATACGGTTAAATTAATAGGAAAAAAACAACAAATTCGAGTTGTTCGAAGTTTTATTAAAAATTTATTTAAATCAATAAAATCAAAAATTTATCATCAAAATAAAATTCGAAAATGGTTATTTGATTTAACATTCATTAATATTATTCAAAATATATTAGATAACGAAAGTCATCTATTTACTCTATGTCAATTTAGTAGAAGAAATAATAAAATCTTAGAAATTTATTATTTTGATAATGAAAAATTTAATTCTTTTCAAAATCCTATTGAAATTGATAATATCATTCAAAATCAAATTTCCGAAGAAAATATTATTTTATCATCAAATAAGCATTTACAAATTATTGAACATATAGATATAAATTCAAAAAAAATCTTATCAAATTATAAAATTGGTCCATCGAAAAAATATGAAGAAGAACTACATAAGAATATAAATCAATATGAACAAGATAATATGTTAATTTCTATTACTCGAAATCCATATTGTAAAAATCGAAGTAATACAAAACAAATAATTAGAATATTTGGATATCGAAAATTCGTCGAAGAAATTTTGCAAAAGTTCAAGGATTTATTCGATAAATATAGATTGAGAAAATATAAATTTAGTCAATTTTCATCTGAACAAGTACGTCTTTGTTGTATTTATTTTATTTACAGTTCCTTCATGTTTTTAATATAAAAAAAAACAATAATTGACTATATCTTAGTGATGGAGCCAGAAAAAAAAAATTTACGAGACTCAGCTTTCCTTTTAAACTAAAAAGCAGATATTCTCCAATAATATAAGGTCATCTCATTTCTAGAGAAAACTTAAAAGTTTCAGAAACGAGACTGATCCACTTCCTGGTTTCACCATTACCTTATGCGGAAGTATTAATTGATTTTGCTATTTATATAATTTGAGAGTTTTCGAAATATGCGAAATCAAAAATAGAAGTATATTAGAATGGGGATCTAAATAGTTGATCATTCACTTCTTTGATTCTTTGTCGATTAGGGCTGTTACATTACTATTACTGGTAATAAGTAATAACTTATAAGGTTATTACTTATCGCTAATAATTAGTGATAATTTTCAAAAGTAGTAAAAGTAATAAAGTGATAAAGTATTAAAATTAGTAGGTCAGAGAAGTAATATTATTATTAGTTTATTATCACTAATAAAGTAATCAAAAGTCAACGATAATAACTGTAACTAGTAATAAAGTAGTAGGAAATTAGCTCATAGTTCTTGAATAAGAAAGAATGGAAGCTCTAGCATCTTTTATAATAATCGAAACAAAAAGAATTAATATTAAAAAAATGATAAGTAAGTGATAAAAATTATTACCAATTACCTCATAATAGTAATAAAAAGTGATAGTAATGTAGCTGTTCTATTATCAATTTGCACGTGTTCAAAATTAAACAGTAAGATACATTGGAAGTCAACCGTTTTCGATACAAAAATTTCGAAGCTTATCGGAGTTGGAATCGAAGTCAGGATCGGATTTCGAAATAAAAAAAACCCTGATTCCGTAAGTCTCTAATGACTGATAGGTGTATCTACGGTTATCGCCACTGTTGTATCCCTCTAACTATTACATTCATTATTTTATGTAGTTAAAAAATGCTGAATATTTTTGTACTTTGAATTTTTATTCATATTTTTCCTAAAATATCAATTAAACTCTCTTTTTTCTTTTATTTAGCTTGACTATCTTGCAGACACTTTTGGTCAAACATTGTCTAGTGTTGGAGAAGAATTTCAAGACGGTTATGTAATTTACCATTTAAGACAAAATCAATTTTATGCACCAGAATTTTTAAAAAATGAAGTTCAAAATTTTATCATAAGTTTATTATCCAATTTAAATACAAAAACACTGAAAACAACAGAATTCTATTATGATATTGCTGATAAATTATGTTCAAATATAAAAAATATTGCTCAACAAAATCATTGTTATTGTGAATTAAAATTAAAAACAAAATTAAAATCTTATTCAATTCCAAGATCTAATGAAAATACATTGATTACATCGAAATCAATTATTGAACAATCAAATTTATTGTGTTCATTACCATTCGTTTTTTGTCAAACGAAATTAACCCATGGATCAATTGACGTTCTTATGGGTGATATTGCTTTACAAAAAGTTTGTTTTTATTTTATCAAAACTTTTAATATTCACAATAATTCTAGGTCGATATTATTATTATTCCGTCAACATCATTTGGATTAAAAGAAAATTTAATCGAACGAGCAGGTAAAATCATTGAACAGCAATCATTAAATCAAACGGATCAAAAAGAAAGTGAAACAAATTCAATGCCATTCATTACTGAAACAACTGGTGGAGAGTTGAATTGTAAAAAAATTTTATTTGTAAATTGGTCGTTACCAACAATGATAACAAATGAGGATTATTTAAGTGATTCGATTCGATTATTTATTTCGAAATCGATTCAGTACGTTATCATGAATAGTCAACAAGAGAATTTAAAAATTCAATCAATTGCATTTGCAGTTCCTGATTCATGTAAACACGAACAAATTTTAGCAGAAGAAATGGTTGAAGAAACAATCAATCAAATTAATTTAACAAAATCTTTATCATTAAAAGTATCATTTATTTTATTACCCGATCAACAAACATTACATCAACAATTTTTAAATGTTATTCAGACAATACAAACCACGAAAGATAATTTTGGAATTTTTTGTTGTCCAGCATCAAGTAAGATTTTACTAAATTTTTATTCACATTCAATATAAACTATTATCACTCGAAATGAGATTTGTAGAAATTTCTATGTCATATACGATTCTATTAAATTTACATTAGCAATTGTTCTTACGAGAGAAGAATTCTAAGTGTCAAATATTTTTGAGTTGAAGCTATATGCATCATGCAGGTCTAATACACAATAAATACCCTGAAAAGAGTTCATCTTCTTAACTCATTGCTTCGGAGATATTGCACTTTTAAAAAACTTTTTAAATGAATGCATGGTCCTTTTCAGGAAAACTGAGTTTTGAATTTCGACTTGAAACTTTGCACAGAGACATGCCTAAATAAGAATAGCTTATTATGAAAGTCTCAGAGTTTTCGATTGCGTCTATTTTGAAATAAGAATATCGGACTTTGCCGTTGTTTATGAACAACGTGAAAAACATGCATCTTAGGATAGAAGCAATCAAAACATTTGAAACTTTCGCGATCATGTATTTTTATTAAGGTGTGCCTCTGTGCAAATTTTCAAGTCGAAATTCGAAACTTTGTATTTCCGGTTGTTCCTGAAGGGGGGGGGGGACGGAGCACGGTATTTATTTTAAAAATGTTGTAAAATTCCAATATCTCTGAAGCAATGATTCAAGAGGATGATCTCTTTTCAGGATATTTATGGCTCATTAGCATCTACAGGATTTACATGGTCTCTGTTCAAAAGCAATTTATCAATTAGAAATGATCATTTGTTAGTTTTAAAATTTAGTTCTTAGATGATCGTTGATAAATATCATTGAACGATTTATAGCAGCACTCCGCGAGCTGCGATAAAGCTTTTGATGACAGCTAGGTATCATGGTATTTAACAGTTTTGACTATTTCTCGCGGATTGTAGTATTTTCTTTATTTGATGTAATGAAAAAGAAATAGTAATTATGACTTATATGTAAAATCAGCAACATGAAGTCTATTTATTCTACATTTTAATTGATTTTTTCTAAAAGAAATATTTGCAAGACACTTTCAAAAATCGACATCAAATTATATTATTCATCCAAAGTCTTACCATATGTATTGTCTCTTGTTTTTTTAGCCATTACAATTACCCTTACATCATCAAATCCTGAATATTTTACAGAATGCGAAAAAAAAATTAATAATTATTTAAAAAGATCTACTTTTGAAATGAATCTAGATGGATTTCAACATTGGAATCAATATATGATCAATGCTTTTTATAAATATTCTAATGATAAACATGTTTTACCTAAATTAGATAATCAACAACATATTGTATTATATGGTCCTATAAATAATGTTTATGAAGTTTATCAAAGATATCAATTAATAAATGCATTAATTCAAGAAAAAACAAATTTATTATCACTATTTTCAACAAATATATCATCCACTAATTTCAATATTATGTTAAGTTATTCACAAGATGATTCGATAATATCACATCGTTTAGCTAATCGTCTTATTGATGAAGGTTTTTCTGTATGGATGAATTCAAATCAATCAACAGAATTCGATCAAATATTAAGAAAAATAAAAAAATCTGATTGTATTATTCTTTGTATAAGTGAAAATTATTTTCAAAATGAATTATGTGAAAAAGAAGCAAAATATATTGATGAAATAGGAAAATGTATGATTCCAGTAAAAGTTCAATATTATGAACCAATTGAATGGTTACAAAAATTAATTGAAAAAGAATCATATTTTCAATTATTTGGATCAGAAAATCATTTTAATTTAGAATATGATAAATTATTATTAAAAATTGTAAGTTTATCGAAATATGCCAACGACAAAAATGATCGAATTTTAAGAAAATAGTTTTTAAGTGTTCCAAATCTTTAGGAACTAGATCTATCTATCGTTTTAATGGGGACAGTAAATAACCAAGATTAAAGTTGAAAAAATACTGTTCAGCACAGAATTCGTGACCGAAATTCAGTGAATCAGAACGGTTTTGGCTAAGATTTCCATGATTTAATGAAAAGTTTTTGTTGATTTAGATAACTATCGATTCGTATATCATTTAAAATAAACAAAATACATTTCATTATATGTAAGAGTTCTAAGTCCTTTACAGGAATAAACTATTTGAAAGTATTTTCTCCGTCTTCTTTGTTACATATTCATATTTTTGCTTTCAAAATATTCGTAATTCAAAATTATTTTAATTTCTCTTTTATCAGTATCATCATGTTTCTTATTGTTTAAATATGTATTCGATTAGACTTGTTTTGTAAAACACATATTCTTTCTTACATTATATGTTTTATATAAAAACTATAAAAATCCGTCTGTTAAATAATCCTCTTGGAAAAGAAAGAAAACTAAATTCATCGATCAAAATTTCCGCAGTTCTGATAGCATCCAAACGTCTTATCAGGATTGATAAAAGAAAGAGCTGTCACAATAAAGTTTCTGAACTACATAGTTGAAAACTTATCGTTCAATCAGCCACAATCCTATATTAAGCTGTATTCTATTTCGATTTCAGATACAATGCATAAGACACAATTATGTATCTTCACTTGAACAAAAGTCTAATAGATCGGATGTATTGCAGTCGCATGATTTCACTAAATCCTTCGAAAATAATAGTACATTATATTTTCTACTAACACCAGAACAAAAAAAATTAAAATATGAAAAAGATATTAAAAAATCAATGGAATTAGAAAAAAGAAAACTAAGTGACGATGATAAAAAAGATCTTATTGAAAAAGTACAAGAAATTCTTCATGTAAAAGAAAAGCAATGTTCGAAGTATATATCTGAAGGTATATGGCCGTGGCGTAATGTATCAATTTATTTGAAAATATTTTTCTCATCTTTTTCTTCTCAATAGATTGCCATATCCTATCTAGCCTAAGTTATCAACGAAGAAGAAACGATCTCGTACAATGTATATGGTTAGACATCGGAATATTTTCTTATAAACAATGGTTAAATAAAATAGAAAATTTTAAAACATTATTAAATATTCCACCATTTACATACACTGGGGATATTAATAACGCAGTATTTCCTATGTTGGATGAAACTTTACAAAATTCATATCTATTATTTTCTTTGCGTCAACATTATTCAATGCCCGACGAATCAGATAGTCTTTCAAACAAGAATAATTCCAGTTCTACAAGTCGTTCGTCAACACCGAGAAAAATATTTATCTCAAAACAACTAGAAATTCCTAGTGAAAAAGTAAATATTGATAGAATTGATTCTCAAACAACATCAAATCAACGAAAAATTTCGATTAGTAGTTCTTCTGAAGAAGAAATCATAACGAAACATCGAGAAATTCCTAGTGAAAAAGTAAATATTGATCAAATCGA